CTACTACTACTACTACTACTACTACTACTACTACTACTACTACTACTGCTACTACTACTACAATGATGTCAAACCCCACAGAACTAATCTGGTCAGAAGAAGCGGGGACAAAATACACCTTCATTCTTTATTTGCAGAGTTAGGGGATTATGGGTTTAGAATACCACATATTCTGTCACATTTGGTTGAAGTGGCTAGTTTTGCTGAACTGGTTTCTCTTTTCCTTTCTCTTTTTTCTTTTACTCCTTGTTAAAAGGGATGACTTTTGAGGGAAATGATCTGTTTGTCCTGAATGCTTTAACTTACCAGTTTGGCTGTTTGATCCCATGAACCAGACACCACGAGCTGCTCGCCTCTGGTTTGGCTCCAGTCAATGCTATAAACCTAAAAATATTTTAAAAGTTTCAATATACTATCACATTAATATCTTAATGGTACTAAATTACAGGAACCAAGTCTTTTTTTTATGATAAAAATAGGGTTATCTTGGAAATTGCACATTAGAATCGAAGAAACAGAAAATCATATGTTTGATCATTCAATTTATTGTACCTAAACCATCATGAAAACTGAGAATCTTCTACTCTACTTTAAAATATTTCCACAGTATATTCTAAAATCTCCTTGACTAAAAAAAATTACATTTTTTATACTACCAATATATCACTGTTTGCAGCACCCCAAAGAAATGTCAAGGCAGATTAGAAAGTTAGTCATTTCAAAAAGCATGCTTAGTCAATGTTTATCAGATGATATTAAAATTAAATTAATATCCATATCTGGCCTTTCTTAGAGGATACTTATAGGAATGGGTATGAGTTTTCCAATCTCATGGTAAACAGCTTAGTTATCCTGCACTGCTTTTCTCATCTATTTCTTACTGCTTTTAGTCCCCTGGTCAGTTAACATGAGAAAATCACTGGAAATCTCATTTTCTACTATAGATTGTATAGATCAATACCATATTCTGAATTTGACAAGATGTTTAAATATCTATAAATGTAGGCAAATATCACCTAGGTAAATTTACTGAATTTAATAACGATGCAAGTAAATGTAATTAGCCAGCAGGTCACTTTTTGGATTTCACATGCCAGCATGATTTGTTACTAAGAAGATACATATTGTTAAAGTTCTGGTTATAATAAGCATAAATACTACCTGCTGTACAGAAAACATTTATGTCTAAGATTCTTAGACACTTAACACAATTAATCTTCATATACTTACAAGATAGAAACAAAAGGGTATTTTTTTTTTCATTTTGAAGATAAGTGCTTCCCTTCAAGTACCACTCTCATACCTCATCATGACGGGGAGTAAGTCAGGGTTCTCAAAAGCTTTGAAGTAGAGCAACAACATGAGTATGCCACGATAATGAATATCCGTTGCCTGAGAACCAGCCTAGCTAAATTCAGAAAAGCTGATCATCAGTGTGTGGTTGCAGGTTGATGAATTTTTCAGTTCTAGTCCCTTTCAAAGACCATTAAATATGTCAAAGAAGGGCTATAGTTTGCACTGGTAAAGATCTGACAAAAACACAGAACCTGTAAGTATTGAAATGACCTAAAGTACAGCTACAAGATAACTTCCAAAGAGAATCATCTCCCTGAGGCATATGCTGTCAGATATAATCAATGAGTTGGTTTCATTTCTTTAACCATACTCATTATTACAAAAGTGGTTTCTAGTGGGATAGGAAAGGCACTAAGAAATGGCAGTAAAATCTTTAAAAATTATATCAATAAAACACAGAAGAAATCACATCGTCAAGGTCCATACAATTCCAAGCTGATTAAACAGTTTGTCTTCTCCTTTAAAAATTACAATGTGACTCCAGAGGATCACTGGAGGTAATGCATCACCAATCGAAGCAAAGAAGTACGGCAGAGAAAACCACACTGTTGCAGTCTTCTTTTTGAATCCTGCTAAAATTGGTGCATATTGTAATTTTTAAAAAAATAGCTTTGACTGTCAAGCAACAAAAAAGATGAGCACTGGAGACAGAGAGCAGAACTAAGCACAAGACAGATATACTGGTGGGATAAAAGGCTCTTCATTGAAAAACAAGGAAAGGAATAAATGACTGTCAAATCAATCATTACCTGAGTTTCTACTATTTGCAAAGTGTATGTTCACTGATGCAGACTGTTAAACCAGAATAGATGTCTTCCTAAGCTGGACTATGGCAAACCTTCTGGTGATGAGTTTTCAAAAATAAAGGGAAAATACTACTTTTAGCACTGTTAATGTTTAGTGTCAAGAACAGTAACTTCAGGAACTATAAGGAAGTACTGTATTGGTTTCGCCAAATATAAGCCAAATAGAATCATGACTTAAGATGAAAAATAAATGAAAAGAAGGAAGCATCTACATTGAAAAAAAAAATACATCTACTCTGGAGGCAGAAAACCTGGGTTCAAATCCTGGCCTTCCTACGTGTACACTTTAGGAAAATCAGTGACAGCCCCAGTCTCTCCGGGTCCAAGTTTCCTCACCTATAGAATGAAGGGGTTGGACTAGATGACCTCCACAAAGATCCTTCCAGTTGTAGATCTAGAATCTCATGACATCGTTACGTGCTATGAGAGATGAAAAAGTGTAAGGCAGTCCCTACCTTTAAAAAGCTCAGATTCTATTCTGAAAGACATAAATGTGAAAAGATAATTAACAATAAAAGGTAATACATGTTAAGTGCTAAATGAATGGTACAAACACGAAGTACTATAGGAGCTGAAAGAAAGAATAGCTTACTCTGGGCTAGGGAGGTCATCTGCACGGTAAAGGTGAGACAGGACCTTGGCCTTAAAAGATTCGCATCAATAAACAGAGGACCACAGACTTAGAGCAGGAAGAGCCCTTAGAAGTCATCAAGGCTAATCCCCTCATTTTATACATGAGGAGAGTGAAACTCATGGAGGTTCTGCAGCTTGCCCAGGAGCACACAGCTAACAAGTGTCTGAGGTGGTATTTACATCAGTAGAAGTAGCTTCCTTATTGGAAATTTCCTATACCAATGAAATCACACACACACAAATACATACACACATATGTATGAATATATATACTACAAAAAAACCCCAAATACATAAATATGTTATATTCATATGTATGAATACATATACTACACACATACACAAAAAGGTAACTTCATTTATGGCCCTGATGTTTCAATGTTTTCTCTCAAATGCTTTAAACAGTTATCAATAATTGTGCCAATCTCAAATATAATTCAGCGAATTTGAAGATTTCAGGTTAGAATTCCTAGTCTACTAATGGTTTATCAGAAAACAGTCTTCAGGTGAATGAGGCTATTAGTTGCTCCATAATTTAGCGTCTCATGAAACCAAAGATGTTTTTCACACTTTAATGAAATCTGATATTCTATGAAGTTAAATAATTGAAAAGAGCTAATAAAAGTACTTGAGATTTTATTTTCAAAATCCTTTCCAAGAACAAATAAAATTGATGGTTCATATTTCTTACCATTGTGGTTGGTAGCTAGAATTAGAAAAATTCTGGGAAGATTTAATTTAATGGGCCTTAATTGAAATGGGCAAAATGTAAAAAGATTCTAAATGAACTCTTTGGTAATTAGCTTTGATAATAAAATTTGTGCTTACAAACTACAATTCTGAGAGAGCTCTCATAAAACAACACCACTTACTATTCAGTGATTTACTTTTGCATATGAACAATACATCTCTCTTACCACCACTTAAAATCATTTCAGAAGATGTGAATTCATTGGAAAGCTACAAATATATTTTCCATCTGATCCTCTGTATACACTTTCATCTGAGAACTTCCTATCAGTGACTTCTAATACTACTAACTACTCAGAGGAGATACTAACTGATGTCTCTTTTCTTTGAGACCGTATTCTGTAGATAAAAAAGAGCAGAGGTTCTCTTGAAGTATTACAAGGCAACTGGTAGTATAGTGGATAGAGCACTGGGCCTGGAGTCAGGAAGACCTGAGTTCAAATCTATCCTCAGACACTTACTCTCTGAGTTACCCTGGGCGAGTCACTTAACCTCTATTTGTTCCAGTTTCCTCATCTGTAAAACAGGGATAAAAATTGCACCTGCCTCCCAGGGTTGTTGTGAGGAACAAATGAGATACTATTTGTAAAAGCTCTTAGCAGAGTACCTGGCACATTGTAGGTGCTATATAAATGCTTCTTCCCTTTCCTTCCCTTCATGACCATGAGATTTGAAAGCAGCACCTTAGCATACAGTTTTATACTAAATAACAAGATTAAAAAAAAATCTACAAACCACAAAATGGTCTGAATACATATTCATACACAAAATTATAATGCTAAAAAACTAGGTATGGTACAATATTGTTTAAGGATTTTTGAAGTCTAAATTTTGGGTCACTAAATTAGATTTTCTTTTAAATTTTCCTATGAAAAAGTAAACAAATAATTACATAAAACAAAATGACTCGGATTTTGTACAAAGAGCTAAGAATTCAAACTCTTTAATTTACTAAGAAATTGTCATAAATAGTATCTCATCATTGATGAAATTTCAAAACTGGTTAGCTATATAAATTTAACTAGTATGTTTCTTTGGGCGGGTTTAAAGAATAATCAAAAACCAAATATAAGTCATCTAACTAGATCTTAACCTAAATCAACTACAAACATACTTCTCAATTTTCTAGGGACAGAGGTTAGCCCTTAAAAAAAGCCTAAACATATATACAATTTAATAAGGGAAAAGGTAAAGAGCCTTCTTTACTATCCTCCTAAAACTTTTAGAATTGTCTCAGCTTCAGCCTGTGAATTTCATGTGAACTTCAGCAAGATGAAGGGGAAGACTGGCTTGGTTCTGTCATCTCTTCTTAGGACCTAAAGTCTAGCACAATGTAGAGACTGTGTGTTCCCCTTAGTTGAAGAAGCTTCCTCTACATCAGCATATGATCAAATCACATGGTATCTTATTTGATCCTGATAACAATCGTGTGAGGTAGGTGCTATAGTTGCATTAGCATGATTAGGTGGACAGCAGTGTGAAGGATAAGTTGGGAAGATTTAGAGGCAAGGAAGACAGAATAGGCTACTAATGACCACTGGTTGTCCCTCGTGCCTAGTGCTCTCTCACTTCTCTTGGCTTCCCTCAAGTCTCTGGTAAAGACCCACCTTCTACAAGAAGCCTTTCCCAAACATCTTTAGTAATTTTCCTCTGAAACTCCCCCCAATACTAGTGCCCAACCTCAGGCAGGAAATCCAAATTCCAAAGAATTCAGTTGACTAATATTAAATGTTTATTACCTGCCTGGTACTGTGCTAACCAACAGAGAAACAAAGAAAGGCAAAAACAGTCCCTACATTCCAACATAGTAGACAACATGTCAATAAGTTGTTTTTTACA